TCTTAAACTTGCCGTTTTTTTTTTAAAAAAAATTCTTTCAATGTCAACAGTTGTTTTCAAAAGTTTTTTACGAGTGCTATAAACTTATAATAGTGTTTAGTGAATATCAGCTGTATGAATTTCGAGTTTTAAAACTCACTTTATCTTTTAGAGTTCTAAGCACGAAGATGTCGTGAGTAATGTCAACAACTGAATGGAAATAATTCGTTTCCAGTCATGAATTATATATTTTTTTTTGCCCTTGGTATTTTAGCTCTTTAATATATTTTGCATTCTTATCATTTGTTACAAATGTTTTTTTTAAAAAGTTCCAAACAAAATTTCTGTGGAGATAGCAGACATTTTAAAACTCAATAAGCCTATTCAGTAGAAAGATTCTCAAATTTACTTACAATTTAATTATTATTCCAAATTTCATACTCCCGTTATTCCAGATGAAAAAACTCCAATACGCATTGTCCAATACAATACGTATTGGAAACTTTTACATGAATACTTACATAAATACATAAATACTTATCTACTTGGCAGCAAAACCTTTCGCAGACTTTTAAAAATTGATATACATAATGTTTAGAAGCTTTTAAAATCTTAATAGCTTTATAAATCCCGCTCTAATTGTGATTAAAGTTTCGGTTCTGTACTATTTAAAGTAGAATCAAGTGCGCAATAATTCAAACCTGTGAAATGAAAGTCACGATTTTTATGATTTTAAGATGTGAATTTCACTTGATTAAGTCAAATTTAACTAGAAAAATAGAGGCTGTACCACATAGCATTATTATAACAAATTCGAGTCCAAAATATACACAAGCAGTGCGGCGGCTAAAGGGGTATTTATTTATTGTATGTCCCCGACCCGCCCATCTATGGGCATACGGTAGAGGCATTAAAAACACAAAATTTACATCAAGTGGATGGATGGCAACAGGCCATCAGATACAAAATTTACAATACACAAGAAAGACAAAGAACAATTCATAGCGATAAAGTAAGTAAAAACTGGTTGTGTTTTGAGCAAGAGACAGCCGAATCAAAAGATCCTTATATTAGGTCTACAGACCCTTATTATGGCCGTGCCTCGCCGCCATAATAAGCCACCTCTTCGACCCTAGTGGAGACCTGATGTGTTTTTACTCCGTTAAAATAGACAACGAATGCAAAAGCAGTTCTGAAGATGTTATCGTTGTCAGTCTCCATCCCAGAGCCGTCGGTGAAAATCTCCAAACCCTGATCTTTTGGGCAATCATACCCCCAGGGCAAGGAGCGATACTTAGATGGGTGCAGTGGGGTTGGAATATCAAAAATAATATTCTGTGTAGAGAACTCTGGAAAAACATGAACCAAATCATCCGTCCTCCAACCCCATCTCATCCTTTTGATAATAATGTCCTCGAGGATCTTTAGGTGAATTGGGACAATGCCAGCCAGTATCTGTACAGCTTCAGAGCTAACTGTCGAATACGCCTTGGTGATGGTGAGTAGAGGGATCCTTTGGATAGATTTAAGTTTTTCGTTCATCCTTGTGTTATTTCTGTACCAAACACTGGCTGCATATAAAATAATACGCTCGCTTGCCTGGAGGTAGATTCGTTTAAGTATAAGTGGGCTGAGCCCCCAGGTTGCCCTAGCAACTCTCCTTATCCCCTGATTGAATCTTTGGATCTTATCTCTAGTCTCGTTAAGATGGGGGATCCACGTCAAGCCCGGGTCGAGCAGGACTCCCAAGTATTTGAGTGTTCGTGTGTTTTTAATATTACTATTATCGTTTCTGTGCAGCTTAATACAGGGAAGTCTAGCAACCTTTTTATTGGTTTTCGGGAATGTAATTAGTTGTGTCTTTTCACGACTAAATTCAAATATATTTTGCTCGGCCCAGGCTGATAAATTGATGAGGATATGAGTCACCAGGGCATCAAAATGATAGAAGATCGAGCCACCGACCAGCACGAAGACATCATCCGCGAAAGAAATTAGCTTAAAATCTAAGCAATCAAAGCCAGGGAAGTGTGTAAAATCAATACAGTCACAAAAGTTAAAAATGGTATCGATGACAATGAGCCACAAGACCGGACCCCGGGAAGAGCCCTGTGGCACACCTACATTGATTTGCTTTTCCATAACAAGCTCGCCAGAATCATCATTAAAAATAACCTTCCTAGAATTCAGAAAGCTAAAGATAGAACCCGAAATATTGTCCGGGATGCCTAGGTTATTGATATTAGCCTTAAGAACCTTCCAATCCGCTTTATTGAAAGCATTTTTGAGGCTAAAGGGGTAAAAAGGGGACACCGGGCTTCGAAAGCAAGCAAGTTCAAGAGATTCCAAATTTATGTTTATAAATTTAGTAATAGAAATCAAACTTAGCAAATGAATTCAAGAATTAAAAAATATATATATACATAAATTTTAATCTCCTTTTCCATCTCGTATATTACATTCTTTTAAAACTTTATATCATTCATGAATTTTTTAATTCCATTTATATATTAATCATATATTGTAAGAATTTTCATTCTGAAACTACGCTATACTTACCGGCAGCAGTCTATATATTTTAACAACTGTAAAGTTTTTTCTTTACGGTTTGGTACAACTGGTATGGTTAAAAGCCGTGAATCTAAAACTATACGGTTTTTCAATCGTTTACAATTACCAACTTCATAACATAAAAATAAAAATTAATAGGACGATGGAGTTAGGCTTTTTGTTAGTTAATAAACCAGCTCTATGGTGCGACTATCTATGCTTGTATAAGAGTATTGTGCTCGTATATTCCAGAGTCACCAATTAGGGAGTGCGGGACACTAAAAACAGTTCATATGTTGAATGAATGGAAGAAATATTGGTGTGTCACCGCTGGGATACGAACCCCTACTTAGGCGGTCATGAGATTAACAGATGGTCCTCTCGGCCTTAATATGACTCAACTGCAAAGAACGAAGTGGCTTCATAATGTGGGCCTAGTTGGAGCGAATGAAATTTTAATTGTTTAATCATATTAGATGAAAACAGTCAATGAACGATTGTTTCACACTATACAGCTTGAATACCATTTTTTTATGCTTATTTGACTATTTCGATTGCGTATGGTAAATTAACAATTAAAGAATTGTTACTTAAGCATTTTTTCCGAGGAATTTTAACAGCTTAGATAACTAGCGAATGAAAATATTTTTCTAAAATTTTTGTGACATTTATAATGTTTGGAAAGTAATTTCAATAAAAGAATTTTGATTTCTTGTATGTTTCAGGATTATAATTTCAAAATTTGCTCAATTTTAATGAAAAATATATTTGTAACAAAGTTATTAAGAAAGCTTACTTCAAGCGAATGAGAGTGAAATGGGTTTACATCAACAACAGAATGAAGAAAATGCATATAAATTGATCCACTTTTCTTTATATATAAATACATTTTGAAATGCTTAAAAATAGTTTGAAAGAGTACTTTATTATATATTACTTTACATATACTTCTGTATGGAAAGCTTATTTTATGAGTGAAGTTAGATTTTGTTCGATTTTATTTTTTACTTTAAAATAATCTGAACCCACATTTTTTATTACATTCTAATTCCTTGCTTACGTATTTTACTGTTGTTTAAATATATCTTCTAAGTATTATATTGTATTATTTTCTTCCAAGTATTATTTCTTCGAAGTATTATGTCTTCCAAGTATTATTGTATCTTCTAAGAATTATTTTGCTTGTTTTATTATCTTTTAAGACAAAAAGCAGTTCCGTTTTTTATAAAACCATAACTTCAAATAAAAATTATCGAAAAAAAGCAAATTTGTGAGTGTGCGCAAAAACTGGATTCGTGCCTGGGTGCTTTAAAACCTAGCAAACGCTCCTACATGTAAGAAATGTTACTAGAAGCATATTATTTTTTGCCAATCTGTGTAATCCTTGGAATCCATTTTTACCGGAACGATTTTAGAACATTTTATAACGAATCGTTCGAACGGGATGAGCGAAAAACGAAATGGAATTTTTTAATAGGTTAAGAATTAACCACTGCTTTATATTAAACTGCAAAGCTTAATATATTTTAAAGAGTGAGCAATTTAAAAATGGATAATTATTTATAAAATAAGTTGTCTAAATTTTAAGAACATCTATAAGACTTCGTAATTAATATCCATAAGGCGTTAGACTTAAAATTTGTGATACTTCTGAGTAGTTAAAACAGAGTCCTTTTCAAAAAAGAGATTCCCGAATCAAAATTACAGCATAATATGCAATTTTTAAATTCTTTTATAGCAGTATTTTGCAATTTTGCTAACTTTTTGTAGTTTTGCTCTCATAAAGTAACACTACAATACATAAAATAACACTACAATACATAAAATAACACGCATAAATATAAAATAGCAGTAATAAAAATCACAATAAGTTTTGGAAAGTTTGGTATTTAACTTTTAGTTTAAGAGTAAAAATATTCTTTAGCTTAATTGTGCTTTTTTAAATAAATATGTTTTGTAGATTAGGATTCACACATAATAATACTAGTTTAATAAACTATTATATTGTTCTACTCGCACTTTTTTGTTAATTTTTCAATACTTTTGAGTTGCTTAAGTTAAACGCTTTCAATATATAGATATGGAATAAAAAGTTCTACACAGTTTAAGAAAGTTTTGTTTACGAGTATATCATAAAATTCCTGGCTTATATCATAGTCAAACCATTTACGTTTTTTAACTAATTCCTGAATCACACATACTAACAATCGCTTTTAAGATAGATAATATCGTAAACTGAAGTCATGACCTATAGCAAGTATCTAGAATTGAACAATTGATTTGTATCTATAATTTTAATTCTAATGCGGTGAATACTGTTGTTTCTTCTTCTTGAAGATGCATCCATTGCGTCATAAATTAAGCAGAATTCGCTCTACGGATATTCAAATTAGTATGATTAATTATGATTCGGATATTTTGTAATATCTGAATAATTTAAATGATTCTATTATTTTTGTTTGTACTTATAGATGAAGAAGCGGCGGGCAAGTACTCCTATTTTGCACGCAGGAAGCAAGTTTCGCCATGGCCTATTGCAGCTCATGATTCATTCGATTGATCCATTACATGATGGTAAGTGAATAGTTTCTTGTAGCATAATATTTTAAGCGCTTTAAAAATATTAGCTCATGCAACCGACTCCCTATATAAATCGTTTAAAGATTAAAAGTTCTCTCTTTTTATTTTCTAACGCTCACTTTACTTATTTAAGCTGGGAATATATTCCTTCAGAATCTAATGTACAAGCCTTTAAAATACTATAGGTGAAAAAGATAGTTTTCAAGTATTTGTACCATATTACAATTCTGTAAAACGTATTTTAAAGCTTTAGAAATCATAATCATTATATAGTCAAACTTTCTTATGATTTTAAAAGTGTTTCATTATTGCTGTACGGAAAATATAACCTGGTTATAAAATATATTTTAAAAGATTCTTTTGATACATATCAATTTAATTCCAAACGTACATATACAACTTTTAAGTACCAATAGTAAACTATAAAAAATTATATAAAAAACATTTCATTTAATAACATTTTCAATATTGAGTTTCAGACAATCTAAATATTAGAAGAGCTTTCTTCATCACTTGTTGGTAAGAACGCGTGTTGTGTAGGTAATAAAATGTAAAGACACTCATTAATTAGTGTACTATGTACTACATGGTTGATGTAACAATGTGTAACTGCAGTTTTCCTTAATCATGTAAGTATTGACTTTCTAATGTAGTTTCCTTTCTAATAAATGGATGGCAGCACAATCCTTTCTATCTTACAACTATATAAACGAACTGTTATTAGTAAATTTTAAATAAATTGTATCTAAACTTGCTTGCTTGGTATGTAAAAGACACCATACACTTTTATGGTTTAAAATATTTGTTTAAATTCTTATTTATTTTAAATATTGCCTTGAAAACTATCATTTTCTGACACTTTTTAAATGGAGAGTTTTGTCGAGTGAAAATCATACATTGAACATATGAACATAAGTGAATATAATTAAATATTAACTTAAGCTAAACCTACTCCCGAAGAATTTGTTATTAGTAGACTGGCTTGAATTTCGTATGCACATACATTTAAATAATTAGAAAATATTTGATATTCAAATTTCCATTTACGCTTAATATTAAATAATTGAGAATGCTTTTACGGCAAATTGATCAAATATTCTCCTCTTTTGAGCAAATAGTGTATAAAATAACAGATTTAAATCAAAACGCGCTGTTTTCAGTCATCAATGCAAACAGAGATTGGGTGTTATAGTTTGTATTTGACTCAAAACAGAATAATATATAAATAATCATATTGTCTATGAATAATTACTTGATAGAGCAACTTGTATTATGTAAAATTAACAGTTATTGCTAAAATTTAGGATTGAACTAATTTTATTACTTACTGCGTTTTTATTTATTCGCCTTCGTGTGTTTTGCATAATCTTAAAATTAAAAATTTAACCACTTTCCGACTAGCTAGAGAAATAAAACTTTAATTGGACCTCTGTGCAGAATAACAATACAAGTTTCAATTGTTTTTGGTTTGAAAAATAAGCTAATTTAATGTATAGCAAATCCGAATTTATCGTCAATTGAAACTCTGACTAACTAGAGCTGTCACATTTTTCTAGAGTTGCGTTCTGAATGACAATACAAGTTTTCAATTGCTTCCTAACCTCAATAATAATTTTTTTCCTTATCCTTTTCATAGTCAATGGAAATTTTGACATATTTCCGTAACAGAAAACTTTTTTAATGAAAAAGTTCTCTTTAGAAAAAAAGCGTTTTTAAACGAACTGAAAAAGAAATTTATTTTATTTTAATTCGAGCAAAAACAAAATGCGGAGAAATACATCACTTCGAAATGAACTTCTTCGACAACCTGAAATTGCCCCAAGGTTTTGTTTTTGGTTTGACAAAAATAGAATTGTTTTTCTCCTTTTTAGTTCAATAGAAAAACGTGGTTCTTAAAATTTGTTTTTAAAATTTATTTTAATGATAATCTAAATTCTTACAAAAAATTTTACATGACTATGTTGTGCACCATCATTACCGTCATTTTACCACTTTTGATGATTTAATGTACATTCTTTATTATGAAACTACGAAACTTAATATTTTGCAAAGTTTGTGAACATTGAAAAACTCATCTACCATCTTGATGTTTTTTGAATCTTTAAAATATTGTTTGTGGATATTGTTTTTTATTAACCATATAAAAATAATATTATGAAATTCACATTTTTATGCTAGAAATAAATGTTAAAAATGAGGTTCAATAAAAAAAATGGCTACCCAAAATCGAGGTACATATAGGTATTAGATAATTATCATACAAATATTGTTTTTCGAATATTGAAATAAGTACAATTAGTGATTTTATGCCTTTTTAACGTAATATTTTATAACCTAGTTTAAGTTTTGGGACTTAGGAATCTGGAACCTAATATTGCGGTTATCTCTCAGAGACGTTCAGTTTAACTTTGAAAAAGGAAACTATTTAAATATTTTAACATTAAAGAGTTTAAATAATTGGGTAAAATTAAAGCACTTCATTTACTGACATTCATTTTTCACGAACTGCTATAAATATAAAAAAAATTAAATCTCGTAAAATAGATTTTGTGATTATAACTAGATGGTTACAAACTTTATGACTTTCATAGGTTGTTATTGTAAGAAAAGTTTTTGGCGTATCTTACCACTGCAGTTGAAATATCGAAACACTGCACACTTACGTTACAAGTAAAAACGTAAAAATTGAGGATAGTACTATAAGCTCAAGCTCGTTGTATGTTGTATAAGTTTAAAATGGTTTATGTTGTATTGTGATGGCTAAAAAATTTACAAAATCTTTTTTCGAAGTAGAAATAAAAAATATTATGAAAAATACGTTTTTTTAATACAATCATTTTACCTAACTAGTGTGCTGCGCCCCCTGCTCGACAACGCTCGCCAACCCCCGAAAATTGCTACGCAATCTTAAATGGTTTGCCTCGCAAACCAAGCTTGTTTCGCTCGCTACTAACTTGGGTACATTGCAAATGCACAAAATTCTAAGAATTCAAAACAATCATTCAAATCTATATAAAAACTTTTTTTTTAAGAAAAATTACATCTTTTTAGTAAATACTAAGTCATTAAAATAAATTTGAATTCAAATAAATGACATATAATTCGTTAAACCTATTAGAAATGTGCTATAGTATAATTCGTGATATAAATCAAAAATCGTCAAATAAATTCGTAATATATAAATTCGTGAAAAAAAGCGCTTTCGACAAAATACTAAAATAGAGATCTATCGACAAAGACTACTCACTTCTGCCTAGCTTAATAGTATGAGATTGCCGCAGCTGATGCACTCTGGTTATTTCCGTTTTAAAAAGCGCTGTATGTTGAGCTACCTCGGCTAGATTTGGCATGTGACTTTTTTATCGGCAATCATTGGTCGATTTTCTAGCGTTGCTATTCGGGGAGTTGTAATGAGGCTTTTTTTTGTCGCCATGTAAAAGAAATAGTAACGTAAACCAAACAAAGCAAATGTTGCCACCGGCGGAAAAGAAATACAGCCAAAATTTGGGAGCCACGTAAGAGAATTATATATATTAGATGTTTACAAACTTTGTGACTTTCATAGGTGTTTATCGTACCACTTCCGTTGAAATATTGTAACACTACAAACTTACGTTACAAGTAAAAACGTAAAAATTGAGGGTTGTACTATAAGCTCAAAGTTGCAATATGTTGTATAAGTTTAAAATGGTTTATGTTGTATTGTGATGGCTAAAAAATTTACAAAATCTTTTTACGAAATGGAAAAAAAGAAATATTATGAAAAATATGCCTTTTTTAATTCAATTATTTCACATAATTTTTTAAGACCAATTACAGGATTGGAAGGAAAATAGATCAAAGTTAATTCATTTTTCTCAAAACATTTTTATTTTGTGTACACCAATGAACTACAAACGTTCTAAAATCTACATCTTTAAACATGCATGGTTATGAAACTTTTGTCGGTAGTATATGCAAAAAGGAACCTTATTAGGTTATATTTTATTTTATAAACTTCAAATCTGGACTTATATCAAAATCTCCTTAATAAACTTTTACAAATTAGTCTCATTCTAGGCTATTTTAAAATGTGTCACATTTGTTTAACGACAGACCAGGAAAACTTTCTACTAACTCTTAAATTATTAAGTCATTAATGATTAGAGAAAGATCTTATTGATATGAACCTTTAACTACTTAGACACATTCAATTAAATTACAGTTATGTTGAGATGCTTATATTGTTTAACGATTAATAATTGTTTAAAAGAAACATTTTTATTATATAAATATTTTACTCTATAAATTTAAAATCCAAACTTATATCAAATTCTCCTTAATAAGCTTTTACAAATTAGTCTCATTCTAGGCTGTTTTAAAATATGTCCCACTTGTTTAACGACAGCCAAGGAAAACCTTCTACTAACAATTAAATTATTAACTCATTAATAATTAAAAAAAGATCTTAATGATATATACCTTTATCTCTTTAGACGCATTTAATTAAATTACAGTTATGTTGAGATGCTTATATTGTTTAACGATTAATAATTGTTTAAAAGAAAAAAATTTATTACAAAAATATTTTATTCTATAAATTTAAAATCCGAACTTATATCAAATTTTCCTTAATAAACTTCCACAAATTAGTCTCATTCCAGACTGCTTCAAAATGTGTCGCATTTGTTTAACGGCAGCCAAGGAAAACTTTCTAGTAACTCTTAAATTATTGAGTTATTAAAAATTGAAGAAAGATTTTAATGATATAAACTTTTATCTACTTAGGCACATTTAATTAAATTGCAGTTTTGTTGAGATACTTACATTTTTTAACGATTAATAATTATTTAAAAGAAAAATATAATGCTTGATATCCTGATGAAAGTATCCTTTATCAGTTGAAAAATAAATATTTCACTTCAAAATAGTCCAATGAAAATAAAGGTAACTTTATAAAGTTTTCTTTAAGCGATATCTTCCCCAGAAATCTTTATTTTTACAAATTTTAAACT